ACCAGACCTAAGACTTCACAAAAAGCAAGTATAATGGATAAAATCTAAATGTCAGGAAATTATGAGGGCTTGGAGGTTTAGGGGGGAGTAATTATTGCCCAGCATTGTGTTCTACATTAATTTAATAAATCCCAGTGTCTGTGTGGTGATTTGGGTATATAGCTGTTTAGGACTAACAGCAGCTTTACTAAAAGATATATCAATAGTAAATATTAATCACCACCTACAACATACATCTTATCTTGAAGTGGAATGCCTTTGCTTTCTTCCAGCATTTCAGGTTTCACATTGAGCTGACACTCATCCTTAAGGCTACAGGAGGATGAACAGAGGGAATTCTTTTGGGGACCATTTGTCCCAGAATTGAGGCTATGCTAGGTGTTTGCTACATCAAGAAAGCATATTTTTGAACCATACACTCCAGTGGGTCAAAAGACTATGCTTTCACTCTTATCTCAGTCATGAAGGAGCCTAGTGATGTGTTTGGCTGGGCCTAAAATCCCCAAGCTTCAGTTTCCTTAAATGCAAAAAGGCAACACTCTGCCATTAATTCTGAACCTGGTTACACATCCAAATTATGTAGACAGATAACTAAGAATACTGACTCTGGCATAGCCCCAGACATACTCAACCATGGCATCTGCAGAGACTAGGATATTTGTAAGCAAGAATCTGTGAAGGCATCTGTAGGGAGCTGATGGAGTCCTGAGCGAATGTGTGGTTGACACTGGCATGGCTATGTCAAGAACACCAATGTCTCAGAACCATAGGAGCAGCAAAGTCTTCCTCTGGTCCTTGCACTGGTGGATGAGTGTGCAGAAAGCTTTGGCCAACGCATACTCATCCCTGATGTTTACAGCCTGAGTCTGTTCTTCTACAGAAATTTTCCATGGAGAATAGCTAACCCCTGTTTCTCGTGCTGCACCTAATAAGCTTGCTGAGTTTCAGGGTTGTAAAGTGGGTGTCCTCTGTCAGAGCAAGCACAGCCCATCCAATCCCAGATTATCTGTATGTGTGTCTGCCCTGTCTTTCTCCACAAGTTGCCCCTGTCAGGTTTCCAGGACCAAGCCAAGGAAGGAAGCTAGGTACCCATTACTGTCATATCCCAAGATCTCTTATCTTACAGACATGTTTGGAAATGCAAACAATGGGTGCATAGCAACCTTTGAAAACATAGACAATATCTTAGCCAACTGTGGGTCCTTACAGGCTTGGCTGACTCTAGGAATACCCTGGTCCAATCTCAGCTCCTTCTGCATCCTTTGTCTTACCCAGTGTTTTCTTCTTTCTCTTGCCAATGTTACACAAAACTGAAACGAAGTATAGCCTTTTCTAGGATGAAGAACATTTCTAGGGATCTGTGGGTGTGGTTCAGGGGTAGAACACTTGCCTAGCAGGTATGACATCCCAGCACTGCAAAACTAATGTCTCTCTAGCTAAGAGACAAACAACTTGGCAACTAGACACCTTCCTGTGTGTAAAGGTCACCAGACCAGTCTATCTAGTTGGAATTCTCCTTCTCCTTGGACCTGGAACTTCTGTCATGTCTTTGTTCTGCTCTGGAGTGCTCTGAGCTTAGACTGCTCATCTTGAAAAGCAACTTGAATTTCACAACAGGCTTCAAATAGCCAAAGTCCAGGGAAACCTTTGGACCTTTACATATATCAAAACACATCAAGAGCCATATTAAATAAAAAGGCCTTAAGGAGCAAAGGTTTTGGCAGAAGATCCATATCTGTAATTTCAGCTAACAGATCAGCTTGGCTTCCATCCTCCTCCTGCACTCCTTAGGTCCTGTGCCCTCTGAAATAGAGGTGAGGATTAGCTACTGTTGCCAAACACAGCTCTCAGCTTAAATAAAAAAGATTATTCTGAGCCACATATGAGTAACTGTGGCCCAGGAATACAGAATCATGCTGCCCTGGATGAGCTGTTCCAATGTGGAAGTGGTTGAATGACCTTCTATAGCACATTGGTTTCTCTGCTCTTTGCATGTCCAGTGTGCCAGGGGCCAGCCAGCCTGCCATCTGGAAACCTCTGGGCCAAATGAATGCAACAAATAAAAGCCAACTGGATCTCCAGCTGAACTGGTCATTACTTCATCTACTGAAACCTGTAGTCTCTGAGCCGTGGCTTCAGAGACTACAAAGAGAAGGCCACCGCCAGGTTCCCAGAACTGTAGGAGGGAAAAATAAGTAAAAAGATTGCTGTTTCTGGATGCCTCTGCTCTTCTTCATGTTCGGGAGGAGGCAAGGTAATAAAGTTTGACAAAGCTCATGTGAGCTGGGACTTTTCTACAAAGATAACTTTCCTCATAGCTCCGATGAAGTCACTTTGCAGAGCCTGGAAATTACCTCTGTGGGCAACCGTGCAAGTGGAGCCTGCTTGCTGGCACAGCTGATGCCCTGACTGTTTGCTTGAGGTCAGTGTGTCTTCAGACAAGGGCAGACTTAAATTTTCTGGACACAGGCCTTGGATGGTGCAGTTGTAGCCCTGGGTAGAGCATTAGCCCTAAGAAATAGCTGCTCTAAATTTGCAGAAAAGCAGGGATAAGGCCTCCAATCCAACTGCTTTCTAATTTGGGAGTGCTGCATGTCCCCAGGGTATCCCTGGAGCACAGGGGTCTGAGCTACAGCTTTCTTATATACTGTATAGGGCAGAGAATGAGTCTCCAGCACCTTTCATTTGCAATGCCTAAGAGTGGCAAGCCCACACCAAATACAGCATACCTGATAACTAAATGCATTAATTAGTGAATGAATGGAGCAAGGAGTTTCAGACTATGTAAACTAGTTGTTTGAGTGACCTCCCGACCTCAAACCCATAACATGCTTCCAGCATTCTCTGCAAACACAAGCCTTTACCTCAAAAACTAATTTTGATAAGCAGAAACATTCCCCAGTGCAAACACAGCTCAATCAAAACTTTCAAGAGCAATGACACATTAAACCAGTCTATTCAATCCTTCAACAAACACTAAATCTTCATTACGCAGCAGGCCCTATGTGCCAAGTGCCAGAGACAATGGAAGAAAAAAGATGAAGTTTCTAGAAAAACGAAGGCATTATTTTTTTTGTTTGTTTGTTTTTGAAGACTCCTAAGTAGTCTCAGACATACAGCAGAGAAAGAAAGCAAATCATCTACTCACTGGCCAGACACTTATGGCTTGAGCCTCACCAGTTCTGGGCACACATGTCAATTCCTATGTTCCTGTCCCATCACTTCCTGCTGCCTTCTCTCTTAACCAGCTGGAATCTCAGACTGAATTCTTTACTGCTTCTCTCAACTACCAAATAATGAATGCAGGCCTGGCAGGGGTAGCACGTGCCTTTAATCCCAGCACTCAGCGGGCAGAAGCAGGCCAATCTCTGAGTCTGAAGCCTGACCACTCCCTCAAAAAAAAAAAGTCAATTACAAAAAAAAAAAAAAAAACCAACCAAACAAACAAACATTAAAATAGAATATTTTACACTTGCCTTTTTAAAATGAAATAAAACCAGGATCTGGAGAGATGCCTCAGTAGGTAAGGGCATTTTCTGTTCTTGGAGAGGGTCCAGGTTCATTTTCTAAAACCCACCAACCATCAGTAACACCAGTTCCAGAAAATCCATGCCCTCCTCTGGTATGGGGGCACCAGGCACATACTTGGTACACATACATACAAACACTCATTCACTTTTTTAATTAAAAAAAAAAATAAAAGGCAGAAAATGTATTGATTTCAACCCAAACCTCCCAGTCCAACCCATTTTTTATTAAACACACATTCTATCTCAGACAGCCTAGAAATCCAAGGCAATGAATATAGTTCTACATACTAGTTTAAATCCTGGTCCTAAAGAGAAGCCAAGGGAAATAGTCTAAACTCCCCCTCTATGTGCTGTCCCTTTAGAGCTGATGAAAAGCCTCACAGGAACAAGATGGTTGCCGAGCTGCCACCTCTCCTCCCCTTACCAAGGTTCTTCTCTCAGAAGTGAAAATGCTTAAGTACAGGGCAGCCTGGAAGGAAAGAACATCTCTGCAATGTGGATTACTCACGCTTCACGCCAATCCTCCAGTGATAACCCAGAGAGGGACTATTGTCCTCTTACCCAGAACCAAGACTGGATAAATGCTTTAAAATTTAAGGTAAAAGACTTGCTCATTTCACTGTCCTATAAGACACACCAGAAGGGTAAAAAAAAAAAAAGTTATTTTTATTAAACTGTGTTTGTTTCTCAGTTTCTCTCTTAACCCGACTATCACACAAATAACTGAGACTCCTTTATTTTTGTTTAATAATAAGCTTCACAACACAATAACTGAGCAGTTATTCCCCTATTCCGAAACCTCTAAACTAATCTGGTTCCCTCCCAGCATACAACTCAGAGATACATGTATTTTGTAGCTTTTCTCACCATGGCTCCTCTCCTCTGATGCTTCCTGGAACTCTCCAGTGCCCCAATCCCTGGCTTAATCCCCTACCTCCTCCTCTAATTCCTCCCCTGGCTGACAGGAAGTCCCAGCCTTATTCTCTCCTCCTTCAGTGATTGGTTGTAAGCTGCTTTATTGGCATACCCAGGGACAATTAGGGAGTAGTATTCACACAACATTGAGACAGGAGATTCTCAGAACCAGTACTGCAACCAGACTGTGGGGGGGGGGGGGGGAAGGGGTAACAGAAATCAGCATTTGAATTATACAATAATTTAATGCCTATACCCATGGCTAGTAGCTCATCAAGAGTGTCCTGGATTTAAGTCTGAGTTCTATCACTAATTTGGCAACACAGGACCACCTAAATGTCTGTAATCTGCAGTCCCTTTCTTTGTGGGGGAAATAAATTACACCTACAAAGCTGTGAATAAAGATAAGAAATCATATAAAGAAGCCAAAACCACCCCCAGTCCTGACCACACTACAGTGCTAGAACTTAAGACAAAGACAACTTCAGCTTTGCACACATTTGTGAAAACACACACAAGTCTTGACACAAACAAAAACAATTGTTTCATAAGGAATCATTTTCCTAAAATATAAATATATTATTTATTCATTGAGAAACTAATTTTTTAAATCATCTGATCAGAACAAATGTTCACCTCCCAGGCCATTTGATTGAGGGCACATCACAGAAGCATATATTTTATTATTATTATTTATCATCATTATTATTATTTTCTACATTTTAAATATTATCTCTCCTTCTTTCACATAGACTATTTTTCCCAGTAGAAATCTCCCTAGGGAGCCACAGCACATTTATCATGAAGACACAGTGGAGTACTGTTCTTCATTTGCAGCTTCCCAACATAACAGTTCACCTAAAATAAAGCTGGATTTAATCCATTACAAAAGTCAGCTTGTGTCTACACATTGGCCATGATCATTGACACTTCCACAATATGCAGGGGGACAGAGAGCCTCTCCAAATATATTGAAAGCAATCATTTTTTGAAAAGGTATCAGCCACCTTTGACAGTGTCAAAGTATCTGGGTACCTTCTCAGGGTCAACACAGGTCAAGCCTATGGAAGCAGATGAAATGGAAAGCAGTAGCCCCAACATCCTCCCCAATATCCCCTACTCTCTCCCCAGCTCCTGGGGCATGCAGGCAGGAGACATTCTGATCTCCAATTTTGGCTCAATTCAGGAGGAAAAAGGAAACAGTACGTTCTTGGGAGGAGGGTAATGCAGTCTGTTTGAGGGCACAAAGATCCATTCAAGCATTCAGGGTTAATCTTCCCAGTTTGTGGAGTTTTGTTGTTTGTTTGTTTTTGTTTTTTGTTTTTTTTTCCTACACCCTGAAAACCTCCCTCCACAATCACTTTTTTCCCCCTGCAAGGGCTTCAGAGCATAGGATTTGTGTCTGCAACCTGGTTTAAGTCACACATCCAAGGGTCTGGAGTTGTCAAGAGAAAAATCATGCCTGGGAATGTTCAGATCTCAAAAATCTAGAACAAGTCATCTCGGCAGACACCTCCTAAGTGCAGGAGGCGCTGCCCAGATCCATGCTTCCAGATTTCGGTAGGTGGGACTGATTTCAGAAGAGCCGACCCAATGGCCTGTTCTCTACAATGTGTCACTGAAAGGCCCTGTAAAATATAAAGATGAAGCTAGACATGGTGACTTAACTGCACAAAAAAAAAAAAAAGAATTTATAAAAATATTCCCTGCAGTGAAAAAAAAAAAAAATGCAATTGTAAACATCTCCATTAAGTCACCAGAGAAGCCTGGAGCCTGCCCATTGCATCTTCCCAATGTCCCACAAGTCTGTAGTTCAGCTTCTTTCCGTGGGTATCAGTCTGCCTTCTTCTTTACAGAATTTGGACTGCACATTTGAGCTTTACATTTGGATGGCCTCTGAGGCTGGCGTGGTTTGATTGGCAGAAGAAGAATGATCAGCAGGCATATAATGTGTAAGAAAAAGAACATGGACCTAGAAGTAAGAACACAAGAGTTACCTTTCAAAGAAGGGCATAAGCGGAAAACACACATGATGACATCATCTTCAGCAAGGGCAAGAGGAGGAGGCGCTCAACGGTAACAATTCCGGCTGGCCATGTGCTCCTCGCTTTGGTAGGCAAGCCAGCCAGCGATGGATGAAACCACAAAGCTGGGTGAGGCAGAGAGGAACAGCACTGTGTGGAAGAAGACATTTCTGCTGTTCAAAAGGCGAGGATGTGCAGAGCACACAGAAGCCCCATTCTGTCCTCTAAGCACAGGCTCAGCCCCATCTCCCATGTGCTTCTCAACACGGGGCAGTTCTTGTCTACCTCAGGAACTGGAAGGATCCTGATTTTAAAAAACAACAACAACAAAAAAGAACTTTTACTTTATGATTCGCTGGGGAGAGGCTTGCAAAAAGGTGTCACAGTGCAAGTGTGGTCAGGGGGCGAGCACTTCTCAGAGTCAGTTCATTCCTTCTAGGATGGGTCCTGGGGATCTGGCTCTCAGGCTTGTGTACCAAGTGCTTTCAGTGGCTGGACCATTTCACCGGTCCAGGATATGGATTTTGAAAATTCCATTTAGAGCTTCGAAAATAACTTTCATCCACACTAAGTAAGATGCAAGTTTTGCTTTTGAAAGGTTTTGAGTGCCACCGGCAGGGTGTACATGCCAGGTAAACACCCAGCACAACCTACTAATAAATACATGTAACAAGATGTTGCTTTTGTAAGTTTCAATGTCCCAGATCTATTGAAAAGGCTAAAGTAACATTGTAACCTGAATCCCTCAACCCTGCTCACCTGTGCTCTCTCTTTCCTTCCCTCCCTCTCTCTCTCCTTTCCTCTCTCCCTCTCTCTCTCTTCCTCTCCCTCCTTACCTTCTCTTTATGGTAAGAATTGAACCTAGGGTTTTGTGTGTTAGGCATGTACCCTATCACTGTGCTGTTTCCCTGGAAACACCATCATTCTAACGTTCACTAAAGATTAAAAAAAAACAAGTAAAAGACACGGGATCCATTCCTCAGTAATGACAAGGCCGAGTAACTCAGATCTTTCCCAATCTGCTCCAACTTTAGCAAAAGGCTAAGGCTCCCTAAAGATGTTTATGCAGTAGTCAAGAGTACTACCTTATCTTCACCTGCTCAGCTTCAATTCTCAGCACTGAAACAAACAAACAAACAAACAAACAAAAACACTAAACTAGGATTTCCAAAAAAAAAAAAAAAAAAGCATGAGTTTCTGCCCTTTCCCCTGGGAGAACAACAAAAGGAAAAGCACAGTCATCCTTTTGTACCCACAAAGGGATTAGTTTCAGAATCCCAGTTCATCCCAAGGTTCATCCCAAATCTCCAGACACTCCATTTCCCGTATAAAACAGTGCAACACTTGCACTGTTTCTGTGTATCTACAGAAACTTCTCTTATGCCTTTAACCACTTAGAAAACTGAATACACTGCAAATGGCCAGAGAAAAATAGCAACAGGAGAGCTCTGTGCATGTTCCACCATAGGACTAGTTTCCTCTGAACTTGGCCGGACCAGCCACATCTTGAAGCAGAATGGCTTCAGTGACTTACAGGAGACCCTGGACCACAGTCATGACAGTGACCTATACAGAACTCTACAACAGAAAGAAAATCCATGGAAAGGATAAGGGTGGGTTTATACTCCTTCCTGGGGAGGAAGAGGGTGACAAATGATGCTTCCTTGAAATCCCAATCATGTCTCCCTCCATGCCAATTGTGCACAGTATGTAAGATGTACAAAGCTGACAGGGGGTTTGTTTTCCATGGTGAAGCTAACATGCAAATCATTGATGATTTTATAAATAACCACAATAAATTCATTTACTCCCCATTCAGACTTGACAGGCCTTGCTTTGATCTGTCAGCTTCTTTTCTATCTGGGCTACAGATGTTTCTTTACATCTTTCAAGGAAAGTCATGAGAGAGACATCAATATACAGCGTCTTAAAAATTTATTTTCAGCTCATGGGTTGGAGGGTTGAGTATGATGAACAGCTACTTAAACAGCAAAGGAGTAGGACCTACCTACCATCTAATTTAGTGTGTAAAGAACACTGAGAGTGAAGGGGTCTCTTAAGAAAAGCCCTGTGCATATACTGAATTCTTAGAGGCCAGAGGCAGGGCTGCGGTAAACTACAACATTAAAGGGAACATACCCAAGACACTCTGTTCTTTTACTTAGCCTTATGGGACATTAGGCAATTATGTTAGATTAAATCCAAGTACACAACCGAGAAAAGCAAACTTCAGTGTCCTGGTAAGGTTTAGTGAATTTTCCTGACAGTCCACATCTCCTCTAAAACTTGATGGAATGTTCCATCTTCCTATTACAGAAAGTCTCATCAGCTACCATCTACTGAGCACATGGTGTCTGTTCTCAAAGAGCTAGCTGTCTATCAAAGTTATTTATAAATTCTAAATCTAATCATTATTTTTAATGTGTGTATGTGTGTGCTTATGGGATAATTGTGTGTGCATCTGTATGTGGAAGCAAGAACACCAGCTCAGAAACACTGCCCCCTTTGAGGCAGGGTCTTTCATTGATTGGCTGGGCACTCTCCAATTAGCTTAGGCTGGCTAGCCAGTAAGCCCAAGAGATTCTCTTGTCTCTGACTCCCCAGAGATGAGATTAAAACTGTGCTACCATATCTAGTTTCTTATGTGAGCGCTGGGAAGCAAATCCAGATCCTCCACTTGCAAGGCAAATGCTATATTGACTGAGCTAACCCTGGCCAAATTCTAATATCTTTACACACTGAATTTAAAAGAGCACTATTTAAAGATAAGTGAGTGGGCGAGTATTGGTCTTTCAAACAATTCCACAGGTTTCTTTTTCTTTTCCTTTCATAACTTTTGTGTGTGTGTGAGAGAGAGAGAGAGACAAGGTCTCACACAAAGCATATCAGAAATGTAAATGTGAAAGATGGGCAGCATCTGAGAAATGAGTTTGCACATAGTTATCCTTTACTGATGGCCACTGAACTTATCCCCAGATGAGCCACAGATTGGCAAGGCAACTACAGTCACCTTCTGTAAAGAGCCATGAATTTCCTTTTACCAGATTCAGTGCCTCTATTAAGAGTCAGTCAGAGCTGTGCAAGCATGAGGATCTCAGCTTAGATCCCCAACGAACATGCTTAAAAAAAAAAAAAATAAAGCAGCTGGGTATGTGAGTATGTACCTGTAATCCCATACTGGTGCAGAGTTTGGGGCTGGGAGAAGGATGCAGGGGCAGAGTCAGAATGAGCACATGGCAGCAAGCCTAGCCAAACTATGACCGCAAGAACAGACAGTCTGAGAAAAGCTCCACAGGAGCTCTGTGTGCGGTGTTAAATCTAGTCTGCCTAAGCATCATGACTGGGGGACTGCACTGTTTATTTCTAAGTCACTCTTTACAACCAGATTAGTTTATATATATATATAACTATAATATATATATATATATATATATATTATATATAATCTTGGGGCTGGGAAGATGGCTTACTCAAGTGTTCCCCACATGAGCATGAGAACCGAGTTTGATCCTCAGAACATACATGTGCTTGTTATTACATGCTTTGTCATCTGTGTGAAAAAGGTGGATATGGGAGGATCTCTGGGGCTCACTGACTAGCCTGTTTGGTGAGCTATAGGCCAAATGACAGACCCTGCCTCAGAAAGCAAGGCTGACAGATTGACCTCTGGTCCTCAAACACATCACACACATGCACATGCACAAGCACACACACACACTCCCTCATGCACACACACAAGTTAACCTGGAAAGGTCTGTGTTATCCACTAAATAAAGCATGTTGGCATTGACAGAGTAGAGGTCCTAGCCCATGTCCTCTGTGTGTTCCCCACTCCTAACAGGGCTGCTTTGAGGCATTCTTAGCCTCCTTTCATAGCGAAGGCACACAATTTCAAGGCCAAAGCCTAAAGCATTCCATGGTGAGAAAAAAAATTAAACATGAACTTGAAATATAAAAGCACATACCTATAGGTTATAGTTGTCTGTAGCTTTCAAATACAAGGCCTGATAGGCCTTTACCCACCACCTTCTAGTCCTCACTCTTGGTTCTCCACCCATCATGCATATCTGGGAATGAAAATCTCCATGCACACTCACCAGCATCACCTCTCAGTAAAAGGTACAGAGTTCTTCTACAAACTGCAGGTCACTCAACCACCAGCAAGACCCTGGCAGCCCCTGTCTTAGCATATCTAACTCTCCAACACAGCTTAATCCTCAGGAAAAGGAACCAAGGGCAGGACAGGGGGGAGGCATATGTATATGCTCTTTTTTTCACCCTTTGGTTGAGTCAGGATCCCATAGCCCTGGCTTAGGCTCAAAATCCTCCTGCCTCTACTTCCCGAATGCTGGGATTACAGGTGTGTACTACCTTGCCTGGAGAATTCTTTGCCTTTGTACTCTGATTTGCTGTTCACATGTTGGCATCTTTGGGATGGTCATTTCCTCTTAAAACAACTACTCTGGTAAGTCAACTCACATTTAGCATTTCTTAGTATAATCCCTTAGTATGTTGACTCGGTTTACGAATTTGGAAGTCAAGAAAAGGATAAATGTATTAGGAATCAAATGGAAACTTACTTGTATAAACTGATGGTTGGCTCTACTGCCAACATGACAAAGGGCGCTGCCGTGTAAGAGACAGCCAACTGAGTGGCAGCCCAGGTAACAATGTCATAAGCAACCTTTTGAGCCTTGGAAGAAAGGAAGTGATGTCTGTAGTTGTTCCTCACCTGCAAACCAAAAAGGCAGAAGTAGGAGGTAGGAGTGAAAACTGAAATAACTTCCTCTGAATCAGAGACAAAGAAGTAGAACCACAGGAACAACAGGCTGTAGAGCATGACCAGCATTTGAGTTCTGCTTTCAACCAAAAACCACACCATTTAAGTTCTGCTTTCAACCAAAATCCATACACACACACAAGTTTATATTACATATATTGTATCACATATACATATTATATTATACATATTGTACATATTATACATGTTATATTATATACACATAGATGTAATTATATACATATATATGCAATACATTTTTATATACTTTTTAAACTATCCACCTCCAAAAGCTTAAAAATTTGGCACAGAGCCTTCCAAAACCTTTCTATTTATATGTATCTACATTTATATTCTTAATGGCACTAGTGTATTTTTTTAGCCTATTTGAGATTTTTTTTTTTGGTGTAATCTGTTATAGAATTTTTGCCATGTCCATAAATATTAATCCTCAGTGTCACTTAAGGTAATTAATTGGGGGAGAGTTAGCTTGTCTTCCTGCTCCTTGTGGTACATACTCTGTCTTACTGGTAAGTCCCTGTTTCCATGGCTACAGTAGTACAAATACCAATGATCACCACTATTAAAAGCAACTGCTATTTATTGAGTGCTTACTGTGTGCCATGTCTGTGCTAGTGCTTTACACAGATCATGTCTGTTGAGCCTTCTAGCAAGCCTCCAGTATGACCTGGTGAAGTGAAAGACCTTTCTTGGGCTGGGGATGTTGCTCAGTTGGTCAGTACTTGTCTGTGATGCACATGCACAAGACCCTGGGCTCAGTCCCCAGCACCTCTTAAAACCAGGGACTCCAGAGGTCCAGAGGTGGAGGCAGGAAGATCAGTAATTCAGTCTTTTTTGTTTATTTGTTTGTTTGGTTTGGTTTTGATACATAGGAAGTTCCAGGATAGCCTGAGCTACGTGAGATTCTGCCTAAAGATAGCAATAAACCGAAACAAAAAACCCCTAACAACAACAGTGATCCTTTTCCTCTGCTCACTCTCACCTGTTCAAGAACAGTCTGGGGTTCCATCCATTCAGAAATGCTGGGCAACAGGTGTAAATTTTAATTGCTAAGGAGCTAATCTCCAGAAGCAAAGACTTCATGACTGCTGAGTTCATTCCCTTGCTAGAAAAAATTGGAAGCTCTCCTCCATCAATCCCTCTTTTCACCCGCTCCCAAACTTCCTTTTAAAAAACTGTTTCCAGGGCTGTAATAGACAATATCTACATAAATCAAAGCCTGGGCCAACAGAGGCCACCAGGGTATAGATATTTTAAGAAATGATACTCTGAGTACATCAACAAAGCAAAGCAGGCTGACCTTTATTTCTTGGTTTGTTCTGGCAATCTGTTCTTTAGCTTTGTTTCAGAATCCGAGTTGGTATATGAAGAACAAATAAAAGGTCTTTCCTGCTTCTCATGTTCAAATATGTATTTAATTTTTAGAATTTTTTTAAAATTAGCCTGAATAGCAATTTTCTGTTTGTATGTAGAATTTAATATACTTCATCTAGGTAAAATAGGAAGCTTTAGAGGAGTGCTCTTGTCTTATCCACTGTGCTGTCTGGATACCTATGAAGCTGACCAGCATGTGACAGGGCTGCTGAAATATTCATATTAAAGTACACTGAAGAATGAGTAAATAGCAAGAGCTTGGAAGATAACCTAGTTGTGAATTGAATACCCAGAACCCATTTCAAAAAGGAAAAAAAAAAAATCAAGGCAAAAAAAAAAAAAAATCCAGCCATAGTGGCATCCACTCATAGCCCTGGTACCAGGGAGGTAGAAACGGGCAGATCCTCGAGGCTCGTTAGCAGCCAGCCAGCCTGCTTTTGAGTTCCAAGCCAATGAGAGATCTGTCTCAAAAGGAAAACAAAAAAAATAGTCATCTGAAAAAAAACGCCCAAGGCTGGCTTCTGTTGTCCACACACACATACAAACATCCCTAGACACACTCACCACCCCTCAGCGCCCCACACACACACCACAAAATGAGTACATAATAAAATTTACATATAATACAGCTAATGGCATTGAAACCTTTTGGAAACTGAAATAAGAAAGACCATAATCATGATCAAAGAGCAAAATTAAGTCAAATACAAAAGTCTGTATTTAACATAAATAATTTTATGGCTTTGATTGGATCAGACAGATGAGGTCAGATCTGTCTCCAGTTAGACTCAGCTCCTTGAGCTGCTTTCTCACAGACTCCTAGACAGAGCCATGGTGAATTACTTCCTGGCTTGGTATAACGACCTGAGCTATCAAGCAGGGTATAAGCAAACTGAAGTCTGATGGAGCGTGCATTGATTAATAAACATCATCACCTGTACAAGTACATTCCATTTTTAATGATTAAAAATGTGTCCATTTCTCAAGGGAGTAATTTGCTACTCGGGAAATTCTTAGTGTTTTACGCTCTGCCAGTTAACCACTTTTACGATGACAAGTCCCTAAACATTGAAGCAAACAAAAAAGGTACTGCAGGTAGGACCTCGTCACTTTGCATCAAAAGGTCACTCCTAACACCCCTACACTTCCAATACCACAACTTAACCAATACATACACATGCACGCACGCACGCACACCAAATTGCTAGAGAGACGTGCCAGCACCCTATGAAAGCTTACCGCTCTAGCTGCCAATGTGACGGGGACTCCAGTTAAGAATGTGAAGTAGTATCCGGGGTAGATGCCATGCCACAGAGCAGAGAGGACGAAGGTGAGCACGGTAGGGTACCAGGGCACCCGCTCATAGCACACACTGGGAAGAGAGAGAGGACCAGCAAAGCCCCAGTGAGAACACTGCGTGCTTCCAGCGACACCCGCATCTCCTGGGGCAGACCACGCGGAGCCCTCAGATCTGTTCTGAGAGATGCTGGCCTAACCCTTAGCAGATGCTTACAATGAAATGCAGGCAGCCTATGCTTCCCTAGCATCCTCGAGCACTATCGGACACGGGGCTCATGGCTCCGCTATAAATTTTAATCTCATTAGGCTAAATGGTCCAGACCCCATCACTTGGGCTATTATAACATAGGTCTGGGTGCAGCTCAGCAAAAGTTCTGCCTTACAGAAGCAGGACCTACCAAAAGGAGAACCCACTAAGGGTACTGATGGGAGCGTCAGCGGCATTCAGACACCTGGGCTCCAGATTAACCATCCGTCGAAATTATCTTCATTTAGCGAACACTAATTTGTCTTTCCATCAGGCCCCTATGCCATCTGACTGATCAACATGACAAGACTTTTCATCTTCCTGGCAGGAATTCCGGGGAGAAATCAGTGTGCCACTTAGAGGACCTGCTCAGAGCCAATCAGATTTTAAACAACCAAGACCGAGCTGGAGAGGTCCTTACCACAAGTGCCTGAGACAAGAAGCCTTTTCAGTTTTAGAGTGTTTGCATAGACGTGAGTTATCTTGGGGAGGGGACTCAAGTCTAAAACCAAAGCTCATTTGTATCTCATGTATACTTTGCATACACAGCTGGAATGTAGCTTCACCCAGTACTCTAGCATGTGTCTTCCGACTGCCATCTGTCACGTGAGGTCAGATGTGGCATTTTCCACTTAGGACATCACATTAATGTTCAAAGGCTTCAGCTGTGGAATATTTGCATTTTCGTGTTTTCAGGTATAAAATGCTCCGTGTGGAAATGACATTGTGAAAGGCTAGGGAAGTGAGAGGCTAGGGGAGAGAGAAGACAGGGAGGGGACAGGAGTCCCACAAGAACAGCAACAAAGGTAGAGGCTGACTATGCATGGAGAGGACCTAGACCCCCTGCTCAGATGTGGCTGATTGGCAGCTCAGTTTCCATGTAGGTTTCCGAGTAAGGGGAGCAAGGGGCTGCCTCTGTCAGGGACTCGATTGCCTGCTCTTTGATCACTTGCCCCTGGTGATGTGGCCTTATCAGGCCACAGAGGAAGAAGATCCAGACAGTCCTTGTGAGACTGAACAAGCTATGGGCAGGTGGGGCTCCCCCTTTCAGTGGATTAGGGAAGGGGTATAAGGAGGAAGAGGAGGGAAGGGTGAGAATGGGAGGAGTTGAGGGAGGGGCTTCAATTGGGATATATAATGAATAAATTGTAAAAAATAAATAAAAAGCTTAAAGTCTGGGAGAGGGGCAGAAATTCAAGAGCACCATCGAGCACCTGCTGGGTTTGTGAGGACATGGTACTGCATGTTCTCACAGCTGATTCCCTTGAGGTTGTTGGATTAATTAAAATAAGTGAAAGGAAGTGGCGGGGGCTTTCTCCCCAAAACTCAGTGTGTTTGTTGCCAATGGCAGTCAGAGATGGCCACTACACACTGCAGTAAATGACAGTGTCCTAATAGAAAATAAAACATCAAATTCAAGCAATTAACATGAATCCATCACTGATGGTTCAAAAGTAACTGATGATGATGATGATGATGATGATGATGATGATGATGATGATGATG